GTCAGATAACTCTTCAACTTCAAAATTTGCAAATCAAAAAATTCTGCAACAAGTTTGCTACTTGGAGAACTCTCAAGTTAGTAACTTCTTTGTTTTATGCTTATTTCAATCTCTGTATATAATTGTTTCAATAACTTTATAGTAGTTCTCTGTTATAGTTTTCTGTTATTTCAATCTGTGTTTTAATGATCCCCGACTACTGGTAATCATTTTAAGCTAGTCGTAATGGCCTGGTGTTAATTATATTTTAAAATACTTATCAAAATATTGTTAACTACAATTTTAAAATATTTTACTTATAATTTTGTTAATGTTAAATTAAAATTTAATTACTATTAAATTAAAAAACAATTTAAAAATAATTACTGTTAATTACTGTAAAAGGGTTTTCTAGTCGGTAATAAATTCAATATATTTAATAAATATTTAAATAATGCTAATTATTAAAATTTCACTTATTTATGATGCACTGTTAATTGTTGTATGATGCACCGTTAAATAATAATGAAATTTTAATAAATATTGTAATTATTGTAAATACATTTAATTAATAAATATATTACTGTTAATAAATGTTGTTGATTTATAAATATTACTATTAATTAATAACTACCTTTTATATGTATTTTAAGTGATTTATTAAAATATTGAAATTATAAAAAAAAATGTTGTAATTATGAAAATACTGTTATTTATATTTTAAAATAATTATCACATTACTCTTACTTACAATTTAAAAATAACTTACTTACAATTTTATTAATGTGATATTAAAATTTAATTACTGTTAAATTAAGAAACAATTTCAAAATAATTACTGTTAATTGTAGTTAGTTACTGTAAACGGGTTTTCTAGTCTATAATAAATTCAATAGATTTAATAAATATTTAAATAGTGCTAATAATTAAAACTTTCATTTGTTAAATGTTTTTTTCTAAATTAATTACTTGATCTTATAAATATTTACAAATTTATAATTACTAAAATGCTATTAATATTTTAATAATACTGATTACTAAAAAAATTGTAAGTAGCAAAATTTCTTTACTGAAAATACTGAAATCAGTAATTTTAATATTACTTATTTCAAAATCAATACACACATAATAAGAATATAACACTAGTTAATAATAATAATAATAATTTAATTATTAATGTTAATTGTTGTTATTTATTACTATCTTAAAATTTAATTACTGTTAAATTTAATAACAATTTATAAATAATTATTGTTAATTGCTATTACTTACTGTAAATGGGTTATAATTACTGTTAATTACTTCATTAGATATGGATATGGATATGTATTATAATTATCTATTATTTTTAATTAATTATAGTTAAATGTAATTACATGTAATTTTCTGGTAATTAACTGTAATTTTATGTTATTTATAGCTTAAATTATATTTACTGTTGTAAACTGTCATTATAATTATTGCTAATTACCAATTAAATTTCTTTACTTACAATTAAACAAATATAATTGAAAATGCACACAAAATAAACAATTATTCAAAAATTATAGAGAAACACACACACACACATATATATATATACAACCCCCACCATACAGATGTGTGGCTTTTTCAAATTTAGACACATGGCATTTTTTCTGAAAAGTTGTTAAAGCCCACAACCCACTACCACAATTTAGATAAGTGGCCTTCTCATTTTCTAGAAAGCTAGATGCATGGCAATTTGTGAGTACAGCCCCCCACCATTCAGACACATGGCTTTTTCATTTTTATCCCACAATCCACTACCAATATTTTCAATTCATTCCTAAAAAGTTGCAAAAAATCTACAAGTGGTTATCCACAACCACTTCTCCTTACATTCTATCAAGCACAGTTAAATATTAACCCTTTACTTATCATAACAAAAGAAAATTATCTATATTCCAATAATTATTGAACAATTATTTTTATAAATAAACATTTCTTAAAATTTTAATAATTATTTAAAATATTAATAAATATAAATTTGACATTATTGATTCTATAATGTAAATTTAGCATTACTACTGAACTAGACCTGTTCATGGGCCGGGCCGGGCTGGGCTTTCACTGTGTATTAATAGATTTTTCTAAGGCCTGAGCCCGAGCCCGGCTCAACCATCGGGCCTACAACTTGGGCCTGAGCCCGACCCTCATAAAAAGCCCAAAGCTCGAGCCTGGGCCTGAGCCCGAAATTTATCCCATGTTGTTACTACTACTAAAGCGACTAAATAGAGAGAGAGAGAGTGAGAGAAATTATAAAGAAAAAAATAAAAAATGTATATATTAAATTATAAATATATATATTTCAATAAATATTATATTAATTATATATTTTATATAATATATAAAATACATATTATGTATTTTATAAAATATATAATGTTGAGTCAGGCCAAGTCGGGTTCGAGTCGGGCTTTTTTAACAAATCCTGAATCTGGCCCGTAACATAGTCGGACTTACTGTGTTAGGCCCGAAGTCAGGCCCGCGGGCCTAATTACATGACCAAGCCTGACTGGGGTGCAGGCCAGGCCGGGCCGGGCCATCGGGCTACCCGGCCCATGAACAGGTCTATATTGAACATTACTACGGAACATGTATAATGTAAATTTAACATTACTACTGAACATGTATAAAAGTTTTAGAGGTGTTAAATTTCTGAAAATCAGTTTTTTAATATTTAAAAAGAATCAGAGGTCAATTCAGAGTCAAACAGCACCAAAGTATCAAATTTGAAATACTTGAAGCAGCCACCAGCCTTGACGGCATTTTAGAAAGTTTCGTTCTTGACCGGGAGTCAATGACAACTGTTTTTAATTTCTGGGGGGCTGTGGTCAAGTCAAAGTCCAGTGGCAATGTAATTTAGTGGAATGCGAAGCACCAAAGCAACTTCGCCATTCCTTCCCTCCATCCAATAGCTGGCAAAATCCAACCTATTTGATTTGTCGCGACTTTCCTTGGTTCGTCGTTTCCCCAACTGCAATCGCAATGTCCAGAACTTGCAAAGCAATTCAATAGGAAATTAGGAATTGTGGAATGTGGTGGACTTCTTTTACCAGTCCGCACCGGGGTTGGGGGGTGCAATGACCAATTAACCCTCCATCTCTACATACTTAATAAAAAAATAAAGACAGACGTAACTAGGTAAGTTAGTTTAGAAGGGGCAGTTTTGACAGTTCATGACATGGTGGCATTTATAATAACACATATTGGTGGATCCCACGACATAGATAAGAGCTACGTACGAATTGTCTAATCTAATATAACCAAAGTACCAAACAATTCTTCTTTCCATGTATTTGGTATTTCATTTCCAGCTCCGTATATATATCCACTACTATCTATATGTAAAATGTGTGGCATGGGAAATGAAGAAAAAGATAGAAAAATCTTTATAAATCTTGTAAAGTTTTTTTTTTTTTTACTTTTTCCTTCCTTTTCTTATATTTTCCTTCAAACCAAACATAGGTGTTATAGGGTTTTTATTCTTTTATATATAGTAAATCCCATCTCGCATCATCTTTCCTCCCTTGCAACTGCTTTGTACTCTCTATTCACAACATTTTCCAATGGATTTAACAAGACATTCTCAATATATGGCTGACGTGAAGATTTTGCTTGCAACGGATCGGATCTGACTCCCCCGGCTGCCCCAAACCCCAAATTAAAGAAGGAAAAAAAAAAAGTAACAGGTGCTTCAACATGTAACATCATTCTTTTTAATAAAGTCTTGTTAAGGCCACCACGGATTCCATAAAATTTCTGTTTCTGGGCTCATTCAAAAAGAAAAGGCAAAAATAGTTAATCAAGTTCATTTTCAATAAAGTTTTGTAGATGGGACCTATGCACCCAGCTGGTGAGTGATGGCCTTATCCTTTGTGCAACACGTTACTAGGTGTGCAATTTGAACCGGGTTGGCCTGAACCCAAGGTTAGACTAGGTTACGATACGATTAAGACTTATATGATTGAAAAAACAAAAAAAAAAGAAAAAAATGTGAGCTAGCTAGGCCAGCCAATTTAATTAAATCCTAAATTGGGTTAGGATGACACTTCAGCCAGTCCAATTCAACCTCAAAACAATATATTTATTCATAATATATTGAATATGCAAATAGTAAATATAAATGTATACATATGCATTGACAATGTGTACAACCAGTCTCATTCAAAATCACAAGGCTGAACTTTGCTTTGTCCCCATATAAGTGTATAAGGATGCTAAAGCCGATTTACCTTAATCAAATCTGCTAATCCTCTAAGTTCAGAAAATGACAACACATTTTTTTTTTATCAAAATTATAAGTGAGGAAATTAGACCAATCCTAACTACCCTAATCGAAACTCAAATCGATTCGATGATGGTTAATTGGATTGAGAGATTTTAATAACTGATGAGCTGGCTTAAACCGACCCAACTTGCACCCTAACATCACAAATTATGGCCCCAAAGCCCAGATTGCAGCTACAATTAATATAACCTACCCTGTTATGTTACTAACTTATTATTAATTAATAATAAAGTTTGTGAGTATATATGTGGCTGGGTCTCAACTCTCAAAGACTCCAGATGTCTATTAACTTATTTACATATGCATTTCCATTCCGTGCCATGTCTCTCCTTACATACACTTGCCGATAGAAGAAATGTGGTGGAAAAAATCGGTCAAAGCCTGAAGAATAAGACTTGGACATTCCAAGCAGTTTCCTGGTAGTGGCGCGAGTAAATATTTAACAACTATCTAAATGATAAAATAAAGCTGAAAGCATTAGAATTGACAGGATCGGCTGCCCACATACGCGCCCCACCACCCATCCCCTCCGTGAATTGGGAATATCACAATAAGCACGGGAGATGTTCCCAGTACACGGAGGGGCCGGATGGGCCGGATGGGTGCTCTTTGGGTTTGGGCAGCCGATCCGTACTCGATCCACTAGCTAGAATTGCAATTATCTGCTGCTGCGCTCTCTTCCTTCAACTATAAATAACCACTTGAGCCAGAGCCACCGTCACAATTCACCGAGCCTTCATCATCACCACTGTCCAGTGTCCACTAGTGTCATTGGAGATGGAAGCTCCTTCTTGGGCTGTGTACGCCTTGGCGTGGCTCCTCTCACTAGCACTTGTCATACTCTCTGGCCACTTCCGTCGCCGGCGAGCAAACCTCCCACCCGGTCCAAAACCATGGCCAATCATAGGCAACCTCAACCTCATAGGCCCCCTTCCTCACCGTTCCATCCATGAACTTTCTAAAAAATACGGACCCATAATGCAACTGCGCTTTGGTTCTCGCCCAATCGTGGTAGGCTCTTCAGTTGAGATGGCCAAGCAGTTCCTAAAGATCCATGACATAACCTTCGCCTCCCGACCTAAGATGGCTGCCGGAAAATACACCACCTACAACTATTCCGACATCACCTGGTCCCCTTACGGACCCTACTGGCGCCAAGCCCGTAAGATGTGCCTTATGGAGCTATTCAGCGTCAAGCGTCTCGAGTCATACGAGTACATTCGAGTGGAGGAGCTGCGAGCCGTCCTCAAGGGACTCTACGCCTCTTCCGGCAAACCAATTGTGCTCAAAGACCATCTCTCAACGCTTAGCCTCAACGTTATAAGCCGGATGGTGCTGGGTAAGAAATACACGGATGAGTCGGAAACATCCATCGTAACGCCGGGGGAGTTCAAGAAGATGTTGGACGAGCTGTTCTTGCTTAATGGAGTCGTGAACATCGGGGACTACATACCCTGGATTGATTTCTTGGACCTACAAGGGTACGTGAAGCGGATGAAGATATTGAGCAAGAAATTTGATAAGTTCCTGGAGCATGTAATAGATGAACACAACGCGAGAAGACAAGGAGTGGAGGGCTATGTTGCCAAGGATATGGTGGACGTGCTGTTGCAGCTCGCCGATGATCCTACTCTTGAGGTTAAACTCCACAGGGAAGGCGTCAAGGGGTTCACTCAGGTATCCTCTAGTAGTACTAGGTCTACTTACAAGTAGCACAAGTTTAATATTAATTAATGAGTCAACTCAGTGTTTTTCCTCCCTAATTGATATTGATTTTTCAACAGTAAGTTAGTATATATTGATGACTAGCTAGTCTCTTCTTCTTCTTCTTCTCTCTCTCCGACCGATTGATCCGGCAGGACCTAATAGCGGGAGGCACGGAGAGCTCTGCAGTGACAGTGGAGTGGGCAATCTCTGAGCTATTGAAAAGACCAGAGATGTTCAAGAAAGCAACTGAAGAGCTGGACAGAGTGATCGGCAGGGAGAGATGGGTAGAAGAGAAAGACATCCCTCAGTTGCCATACATTCAGGCCATCGTGAAGGAGACAATGAGGATGCACCCAGTGGCACCCATGCTAGTGCCCCGCTTTTCTCGAGAAGACTGCGAGATAGCTGGATACGACATTCCGGCAGGAACTGAGGTATTTGTGAATACATGGACCATAGGAAGGGACCCCACGTTGTGGGATGCGCCTGACGAGTTCCGTCCCGACAGATTCATTGGAAGGGACATAGACGTAAAAGGTCAAGACTTTGAGCTGTTGCCGTTTGGATCGGGGAGGAGGATGTGCCCCGGCTATAGCCTTGGTCTTAAGGTTATTCAGGCCAGTTTGGCCAATCTGTTGCAAGGTTTCACATGGAATTTGCCCGACAAGATGAAGCCTGAGAACTTGAATATGGAGGAGATCTTCGGGCTATCAACACCCAAAAAGATCCCTCTTGTAGCCGTCGTGGAGCCTAGACTTCCGACTCACGTCTACGGCCAGTGATTAAGCTATGTATCAATATTGTATGCGGTGTTGCTTAATCGATCGACCTTTAATTTTTATCTTGTAACAAGTAATAGAGTTATGGTGGTGGAAATTAAAGCTTGCTACTTTAATCAAATGAGTAATTAATATTGCACACATGGAGACTTTTGGACCTTAGAATTTTATATTAGTTTTACTTTTTGGCTCCATGAAGAAATAGACTAAGGGGAGAAAAAAGTAGCTAGGCTTAGGCACGGTGGGGCTCCGGGTACTTGTATTTGTCATTAAAATTTACTTATTGTGAGCGATCATCCATGTTTAAAAAGCATACGCAATTGAATTGACTGTAATGCAGAATGGATAGATTTGGCCTTTAACTTCCATATGCCACTTCACCCCAGTAGCTCAGTAAGCGAAGACTAGAGAAAAGCAGAGTCTTAACAAACCCATCACTGAAATCTTAAAAGAAAGTTTGTTTTGTGTTGCAGGAGGATATTTGGACTTTGAAACTAGATGCAGAAGTTATATTTGTCACGATATGCACAGCCTGGCAGCTCAGCTCATATGGCTGCCCAAAAAAGGGCTTGAGGGAGCTGCAGGCTAATTCAGACAATTAGGGTTAGCTGCCTGTGCAATTTGAGGTTCTTGATAGGGATTACACGAACGCAGCCCATAGTTGTTATGGTCTTAGTTCAACCGACGGACACGTTAACGTCAACCAAAAAGGATATGATACCAAACCGATCGAATGAAGTCATGAGCATTGAGCAATCAGAGCCCCGCGAATTAAAAAGTAAAAACAGAAATATAAATCGAAATTGAAATCCATCAGGAATCCAGAATCAGAATGATCTATTCCTTTCATCTATTTGGTTCATATTAGAATTGGAATAGAAATAAAATAAGCTAGAATGGATTTTTTTTTTGGTGAAAGAAACTAAAGGTTGTTACACAAGACGAGCGTAGCACGACCCCAAGATTCGTCTCACTAATGCATTTTCATTCTGGAGGGGGAGCTAATGAGGAATGCCATTCACCATGAATGGAAATGGGATTTTGATTCGTCTCACTAAGATTGCGTTTGTTTAAAGTGTAAATGAGAACTGGGGTAAAACCCTGGTTCGGTTCGATTTTGCTGGTATTTGGTAGAGGTGTCAACATACCTCATCAATCGGTGTAAAAGTCCATTTTTGTCAGAGAATTCATCGAAAATTAGCCAAAATTTTACATCAATAAAATCGATGCAAATCTACCTTCCTCTGTCCAACGGTTACCTCGCATCTGTTCTGTCCAACATTGCATGTCTTCGTTCGAACCAAGAAGAGAGAACCAGTGCGACGGCAGCATCCCCCACCAGTGTGACGGCGGCATCCCCAACCGGCGAGTTCCAATTCCAAAGCCCAGCTCCACTAATACTACCAGTTTTCCATCCATCCACGCCGGTGCTTGGCACCGCCGATTGATAGAAATGGGTTCCCACCTCTACCAGTTCCGCCTTTCTTTACTCGCTTCTCTCTCTCTCTCTCTCGCCCTTCTGGTTCACTCTGGGCTGAATCTTGACACTTCAGATTTCGATGCTCTCTTTCTTCTCCACAAAGATTTGGGTGGTTTCAACGGTCAACACTACTTACTAGAGAACCCGTGTTATTCGGCCGCTGGTATCTTCTGCGAGAGGAGATTCTCCAGTGACTCGCCAGTGCCCCGCATCACAAGAATTGTCTTGGAATCGCAGCAGCTAAACGGATTCCTTTCTCCTACAATCGGTCATCTCACGGAACTCAGAGAGCTCTCTCTCTCTCCCTAACAATCACCTCGTTGACAAAATTCCTTGACTGCCGAAAATTGCAAATCCTAAATCTGCGAAACAACCGCTTTTTTGGCAGAATTCCATCAGAATTCTCCTCGCTCGTAAGCCTCCGATCCCTTTATCTATCTTCAAATAGTTTTTCAGGCTCTGTCAAATGGTGAAAGCAGTAGTTGTTTCTCCGAGACCCAATTTTTATGCGAAAAGCAGCAGCAATAAATTCTTTTACACCCTAGACAACCAAAACAAGGTCAGTGTAAATTTTCAAGATTTCCACCAATCATTAAATCGGTTTATATTTTTCACCGTGTAAAATTTGAATTTATACCTCAAACAAATGCAGACCATTGGATTTTCACTCTCGAGGGAGGAAATGAGGAATGCCATTCCACCTAGAATGAAAATGGGATTTTGATTCCACCCAACCAAATGATTAAAAATTGAAATCATTTCAATTTAGGTTATAGACCTCTATTCCTATAAACCAAACGACCCCTTAGATGCATACCATGTGATTTCTAAAACTACTTAAATACACCTTCATATATTCTACAAAGCAAATATTTTCTTTGGGTTCCATGTATATTATAAAGCTTAAATCCAAAAGGAAAAACCCTGTCAGTAAAATACCTTCCAAAACACATCTTATAGATGGCAAGTTCCAATTTTATAGCAGGACCAGCTTCATGGGGTAATGTGTAGTGTTTGTTGGTAGGAGATCCCAACTATATGATTTTACTTCCAGCTATAAAAGGGAACTAATAATTGATAGAGCACTCTAGGGTTGCTAGAAAAGAAGTGAAGGACAAAATTGCCCTTATCTGTTTTATAAATTCGCAAAACATGACCTTAAAAACTTCATGAGTAGGAACAAGATTTTTCCATAAAATAGAGTAATTAATATGTCCTCCCCGGTTAAATTTGGTGGCTCCTTGCCATTTAATCACTATGGATGAATCGTCAAAGCCCTTGACCATGGCTTTCTTAAGCTACTCAAAACAAATGAATAATATGTCAAATAAATAATAAAAGTGACCCATCTCGTCACCGACAATCTTATCGCTAAAAAATATAGGGATAATGAAAGTGATCCATCTCGACTTCAGATCTCAAAAAAGTAACTCCGGAAAACCTTAACCTTATTAAGAAGAAAGATGAAAGACTCCGCCTTTCCTTGCACTAATTTCAACCACAATCACATTTCACATATATAGTATTGCTGTTAAAGATGGGGCCGAGGGCAATAAGGTAATTTTGTTGGTATCTGAAGTCAATCGGTCCAATTTGTGAGCAAGAGAAGAGTATTTGTTAGAGGCCCTGGGTGTTGTCCTAAGGGGGTGGAGACTTCGACGATCAAGTTAGTCAGGTGCTAAAGAGGGGTCGGATCAAAGTAGAGACAAGGGCTCAGAGCTTAGTCCTTAAGAGCTTGAAAGAAGTTTTTTGAAATTCTGAATGCAAGAGAGCAAGTATGAGCAAGATGGTTTTACCTTGAAATAGGCACCCCCTTTTATAATTGACCTTGTTATAGAGTGGTTGGAGGCAATTAGAGATGGACGGTAAGGATTCCATCCGGCTGATGCCACGTGGCATAATCCGACGCATGCCAAGTCCACCCACATCACTTGCCCCCCATTCTCGAGGCCGTAGTGGCTGAGGTCAAGCAATGCATTGAGCGGAGACCTCAACCTCAACTGAAGAGAGTACTACATAGCTTCGTGGAGGCGTCGAATGGCGCATTGGGCAAAGACTTCAGCTTCGGTCAAAGAGAGTACCATGTAGTTGTGTAGAGGTGTTGGCCTCGACTATTGAGGACTCTTCTTGGTGACTACTTCCCTTTTTGGTTCTCGCCTCTTTGGGGATCTCGAAGAGAGTACTGCTTCTTGGTGACAGGAAAGACGGGAGCATTCTCGTCACCAAAGCTCAGCTGACGCTGAGGTTGTTGAGGGAGTCGCCCTCCTTGACGTTCTAGTTAGGGCAGAAAAGTCTCTGTGCCGACAGCAGCATGTCTTCACGGGGGACAGCTTCACCCGAGGCAGTTCCGTCGTGACAAGCCTCTTCGATGGCCCCTCGGTCGATCCCTTCTTGGTGTTCGCCCTGGCCAACTGCATAAGCATGTTCTTCATGCCACCGTCTAGAGGGCAGCTCCTCTTTGGGCAGTCCTCTCCCTCAATACCTGGACACCAAGCACCCGAGGGCAGCTCTCAGGTTCACTGCTAGTACTCCCATTGCTAGACAAGGTGGAAGAAGGACTACTGGTGTCACTCAAGTCAGGGAGTTCATAACACTCAGGTCCAGAGCCCGAATACAACATGGTTCGAAGACAAAAGTCCTTTACGTAATGTTTGAGTATGAAGAAAGAAGCTTAAGGGATTGGCTGGTTGGTGGTCGAGGTCTCTGGGATCACTTTTATCCAACGGTCGCAGAATTGCTGACCTGATATCTCGAACTAACACATTACACGTGGCATCAACCTCGGGGAGATGAAACGACACCGAGTGAATAAGTCAATCCACTCGTTGACTCCGAGTCAGGAGCGAGCCTCCGCATTGTCCCACGCACGACCACGACCAGTCAACACCAACGTCCGTCCAGTGTACGAATCCACACTAGATAACGACAACACTCGTATGAGACACGACCAGCAAATGCAGATGCCTCATACCCGTGCCAGAATCGTTGACCTGATAGCCCGAACTAACACGTTACACGTGGCATCAACCTCGGGGAGATGAAACGACACCGAGTGAATAAGTCGGTCCACTTGCTGACTCCGGGTCAAGAGTGAGCCTCCGCATTGTGTCGCACACGACCACGACCAGTCAACACCAACGCTCGTCCCATGTATGAATCCACACTAGATAACGACAACACTCGTATGAGACACGACCAACAAACGCAAATGCCTCATACCCGTGCCAGCCATTGTTCCGCACGCTTGGCCCATTGAGATCCTCCAAAGAGGCGAGAACCAAACAAGGAAGCAGTCATCAAACAGTCACCAAGAAGAGTCCTCAACCGAGGACAACGCCTCCACACAACTACATGGTACTCTCTTCGACCGAAGCCAAGGTCTCTACCCAACATGTCATTCCACGCCTCCACGAAACTATATGGCACTCTCTTCGGCCGAGGTCGAGGTCTCCGCTCAGCGCACTGCTCGACCTCGGCCACTACGGCTTCGAGAGTGGGGGGCAAGTGATGTATGTGGCATTGGACGGATGGAATCATGGTCGTCCATATCTAACTGCTTCCAACCACTCAATGGCAAGGTTAGCTATAAAAGGGGATGCCCATCTCAAGGTAAAGCCATCTTGCTCATACTTGCTCTCTTGGATTCAGAATCTCAAGAGACCT